GCAATAAACACCAGAAGGGAAAACAAGAAAATAAATAACAGCTTTCAGGAAAAGGGTCTGTAATCCCAGCACTTGGGAAGAGAGATGAAGAATTAAGAGTTCAAATATAGCCTTAGCTACAACCATGAATTTGAGGTCGGCCTGATCTACATGAGACCCTGTCTCAACAAACAAACAAACACAAATAAATAAACAAGCAAGTTTCAGAAAAGGACTGCCTGAGAAACAGAGAGGTTGCTACAATCTCAGAGGGACACACAGAGCATCTTTGTACCAGTCATTTAACATTGCTTAGACTCACAGTACTGCATCTTTATTTTACAATAAAAATTTAAGATAACTGAAAGACAGAAAAATGAATTAAATCAGTATATCTCTTTGTACTTTGTATTTTGTCAAAATGTGTACAAAATTATGTATAAGTTTCATTAATATCACTTACAAGACAAAAATCAGATTATTTAAGAATTTCCCTAACACCTTGCAAGGAATGGCTTCTTTTTTTTCTTTAAACATGGTGTTATATAATTTGTTTTGTAATCAGCATCACTCCTGTTTTATAAATAGTAAACTGAGGCACGAAGTGAGCCATTGTGCTTCAGTTGGTTATTCATATAGCAGCAGGTGGAACCCAAAAGCTTAGCAAGTGTTCATATTGATAACTTCAAAAATCTTGGAAAATCTGAACTCAAATATACTTTTTTTTGTTCCTTGCTATATTTATTAGCTTATTTTGTCTCAGATTTAATTCTTGTAAAACACAAGAAACCTTTCTAAATGATGAGGAGTTATGTAAAATGGGTCAGGCAGTCAAAGAAGAAATAGCTGAAGTATAGGAGCTTTTTTTTTAAAAGGTCACCTGTAATTTACATTGCATGTCTTGAGTGCGGTGCACGTAGGTCTCTCTGCGTTTGCTCTTCTGCTCTGAGCAGTAGAGCCCTACAGCGTCGGTCATGCCAGGCGATTGCATCGCTCTGAGAGTAGAGCCCTCTCCCCCGAAACACCCCCACCCTCCCGCCTCAGTCACACCAGATAAGCACATCGCTTGGAGCCCCACAGCGTCAGTCATGCCAGGCAAGCGCACCCAGGTCCTCTGGAAGAGCGGTACACACCCAGTCCAGCCCAGGTCCTCTGTTAGAGCAGTACACGCCCAGTCCGATTCAGGTCCTCTGGTACATGACCAGTCTGACTGTTGAGCTGTCTCTTCAGCTCTATCTAGTTACTTTTGAGATAGGGTTTCCTACGGAGCCCAGGCTGGCCTTGAAGCTACTACATTCAAGTCCTGGAACTCATGATCCTTCTGCCTTAGGCTCTCTCTGACAGCTGGATTTAGACCTTGCCTCGTTTGCTTTCTTTAAGAATGATGGTTATAATTATTTGTCTTGAGAACTTCCATCCTTCTAGTTATTCCATGAGCATTCTTATTTTCATTGACATCTTCTACCAGCTCATAAAATTGGAGCCCCCAGGGACCAATGTGTTAGAACCATTGCTGGAGCTGAAATCTCTATGGAGAGCTGATGTGGAATTCCCCTCTGTATGCTATGAATACCATTGGTTAATATAGAAACTGTCTTGGGCCTTTGCAGGGAATAGACGTAGGCGGGAAAAACTAAACTGAATGCTGGGAGAAAGGAGGCAGAGTCAGGGAGAAACCAAGGGAGCCCCACCAGAGACAGCCTCTGGAACTTTTCCCAGTAAGCCCCAGCCTCGTGGCATTACACAGATTAATAGAAATGGGTTAAATTAAGATGTAAGAATTAGCCAATAAGAAGCTAGAGCTAATGGGCCAAGCAGTGGTTTAATTAATACAGTTTCTGTGTGATTATTTCGGGGCTAAGTGGCCAGGAACTAACTAGCAGCCTCCTCCAACAGATAGCCATCTTGTCTAACTAAATCTCTTGGGGCATGGCTGGGGTAACTTACAACATAACCAGCAGTTAGGACTACTGCCCTATGCCACAGACAGATCTATCCATGGAAGGCTGAGCTGGAATCTCTCAAAAAACCATGAACTATTTGGAGTACCCACTGCCTCCCACAGTTTTCAACCAGCCAACCAGTGAAGAGAAAAATATGTGCTACCTATTCTACACAAGGACTGGGCGGCAGAGCTGAGGTGACGAGTCTGTGCCCAGCTCCGAGTTAGTTCACACTGCATGCAAGAGTGTCTTTCAGGCTGCCCCTTGCCCTGGGTGACTCCATTTTGGGTATAAATATTGAGACAGAATGACTCAGCAGCTCACTGTGACTCTGTGAGTAACCAGCCATTATCTTTCCAGAACAGACCATTGGGCTCAGACAGACAACTTATTAATGTAAATAAAATATTGCTGCCAGTGAATTTATAAAGTTAAGTCAGGAAGACCTGGACATATGGGCTTATCAGAATCGTGTCACAAAAGACAGGCCTAGAAGCTTATCAAGTATAGCAGATATAATCCCTTCACCTAGGGCTATAGAAGAAGGAGCACCCCAAAGCTGAGTCACGACAGCATTCTGACCCATCACCCAGTCACTCACGATAAGTGTTGAACAGGAAAATTGCTGCAACCAAGGACCTCTGCCTCATTTCCTGGGCTCCGGCTCAAATTCAGTTTCTCCCGCCCAAGACATTTAGCCCACTTCATACTGCCTACTACCTGGCACACTCTTATGTGTCTCTGGTACTTCAAGCATCCTAGTTGGTCCTATTTAGGGGCTTTTCCTTGTGGGTGTTATTAGTTCATCCACTATAACTCTCTCTTTCTCTGTCTGTCTCTTTCTCTCTCTACCTCTCGTGTGTATGTCCCTTCCCCCCACCAAGATAAAACTCATACGATACCCAGACTTTGTTTTAGCTGAGAATGGAAAAGATAAAGGATAAAGTATAAATAGGAAGGAACAAGGATAAACAAGCTAAAACATCTACTCAGACAAACCATCATGTAAATAACAAAAAACATCTGCGGCCGGTCTGTAGCTGTATGTGTGTGGGTGTGTGTACTTCTGGTGTATTGTTAATAATTAAGATTGAATGGAAGCCCATGTTGACTGACAACCATGGATAGCAAGGGAGATCAGGAGTTCTTGGTGAGTGTGCTGGTAAGCTTTTGTCAACTTGGCACAGACCTAGACATAGACAGAAGGAGGAATCTTAATTAAGAAAATACCCCATCTCAGCTGGGTGGTAGTGGTGGTGTACACCTTTAATTCCAGCACTTGAGAGATAGAGGCAGGCTAATCTCTGTGGGTTCGAGGCCAGCCTGGTCTACAAGAGCTAGTTCCAAGACAGGCTCAAAAAAAAAAAGCTCCATCTTGACCATCCCATTCCCTCATGTTCTCCTCCCCGCTCCCTTTCTCTCCTCCTCCCCTTCTGCCCTCTCTTCTCCACCTATACTCAAGGGGAGAGCAAGGAAAGAGATATATTGATTGAGGGAACCATCATGGGGCTAGCAAGAAACCTGGCACTAGGGAAATTCCCAGAAATCCACAAAGATGACTCCTAGCAATAGCGGAGAGGGTGGCTGAACTGGCCTTCCCCCTGTAATTAGATTGATGACTACCTTACTTGTCATCATAGAACCTTCATCCAGCATCTGATGGGAGCAGATGCAGAGATCCACAGTGAAGTACTGGGCTGAGCTCCCAAAGTCCAGTCGAAGAGAGAAAGAGAGAGAGAGAGAGAGAGAGAGAGAGAGAGAGAGAGAGAGAGAGAAAGGGGGGGGGTGATAATATGAGCAAAGGGATCAAGACCATGATGGGGATACCCACAGAAACACCTGACCTGACCTAGTGGGAGCTCACGGGCTCCAGACTGAAGTAGGGGAATGAACATAGGACCAAACTAAGCCAGTGACAGCTGTATGGCTGGAGCTGTCTGTGGGGTCACTGGCAGTCGGACCAGGATTTATCCCTGGTGTTTGAACTGGCTTTTTGAAGACCATTCTCTTTGGAGGGATACCTTGCTTAGCTTAGATGTAGAGGGGAAGGGCCTTGGTCCTGCCTCAAAGCGACGTGCCTGACTTTGCTGACTCCCCGTAGGAAGTCTTACCCTCTTTGAGGAGTGGCTGGGAGTAGGGTGGGTGAGAAGGTAGAGGGAGTAGGAGGAAGGAAGTATGTATTGGGACCGGGATTGGTATGTAAAATGAGAAAAGACTGTTTTTTTTTTTCAAAAAAAATAATTAATTAATTAAAAACTTTAAAAATGCTTTCATAAGTTTGGCATTTTCTTAATCAGCATTGATATGGGAGGGCCCAGACTGTTGTGGGTGGTGCTATACTTAAGGCAGGTGGTCTTGGGATCTACAAGAAAGCAGGATAAGCAAGTCATTGGAAGCAAGTCAGTAAGCAGTGTCCCTTCATGGTCTCTGTTTCATCAGTCTGCCTGCAGGTTTTTGCCTTGAGTTCCCGTCCTGACTTCCTTTGATCATAAACTGTGACCCAAGAGTTCTCAGCTGCAATAAAACCTTTCCTTCTAGAGTTACTTTTGATCATGGTGTTTATAGCACATCAATAGAGACCCAAATTAAGATAGTAGATTAAGTCAAAAATAAAATAAAAATAACCTAGCTTGGGAAGTTATTGTTACTCAATAAACTTTGACAATGTAGAAAGACACAAATGTTTCTTGCAAAGCTTCTCACATCAATTAACATCCTCAGCAGAATCCTGCTCATTCAAAAGGGTACCAGGACTAGAGGTATAGCTGAGGATGGAGTGCTAGCTTAGTGTCCAAAGCCCATGCATGTGTGTGTGAGCGCGCGTGTGTGAGCACGCAGGAATATACGGCTCATAGGAAAAGTAATTAGAAATCTGTATTTTTTTTTTCAAACAAATTAACTGCTTGATAATCGGGGTGATGTTTAGTCCTTGTTAACAGAAACAGCACTTGCTCGTGAGGAGCTCAGTGTGATTTTCTGCCCCTTGGCAGTGGATGTTTGTGATTGCATAGTCCAGCAATAGATGGCGAAATCATTTGATGTCGGCTGCAAGGGACGGGAGTTTTGAATGGCACTCACCTCAGAAGGAGTGTGCCCTCAGCACGCGTGGAGGCTTTTGGGCGTGCAGCTGTAGTGCAGCCATGGTTCTGCAGGAGGCTGGCCTAGAAAACCCGATACTGAGTTTTAACCGTCCTGCTCTTCCAGGCTGCCTTTATCGGTGGCTGTTGTCTTCATTTCTTTTCAAAATAGCTCCGAATTTGAATGGGATGCCTGGACTGTTGCAAATTGTTTTTAAGACTGTGCTACGAGAAGATGGACATCTGGTCTCTTAAACTCTTCCTAAGGAAGCTCCAGAGACTCCTTGCTTCCTGCACAGTGCTGAGTTGCATGCTGACCAGGACAGAGGCCTTGCTGTCTTAGAGACTCTACTTCAGTGGGTTAATAGTTTTTCTCCTCTTCCTCCTGTCTCACCCTCCTCACTCTGTCTCCCGAAAGTCCTTTTTATCCATGATTCTCCCCTCTCCCTTATATTTCTCTAAATGGCTTATTAATGTTAGACAGATGTCTCCAGACAGAGAAGGTGTGGTCAGCCTTGTAGGTGATTGTCTGCTCTGTTGACTTCATCTCCTTTGCGAAGAGACTTCTGTTGTTAATATTCCCTGGAGTTCAGGAGATAAATATGTAGTCATCTTACAGTCCTGTGTGAGTGTTAACTGATCAGCGAATCTATGCCCCCCCCCCCCAAGCTAAGTAGTTCATGTTCACCATCCAAGAGCCCAGGGATGGCCCACTTGGTTAACATCAGCTTCTAGGCACAGAATTAGTCCAGGTTTGTCTCAAAGAGCACAGAAAGAAGGAAAGGGGCCAACTGGGTGGGGAGGTCCCATGAGTCCTTGTTGGGCCACTGTCGCCAACTCCTGTAGTAGACAGCACATCCTGCTCCCATAGCACCCTCCCCTCCCAGACATAGCTCCACAAGATACTCGGGCTTTGTTCTTGCCTAGAAAGGAAAAGTACAAACTGGGGAGGGGCAAGGAGGAGCAGGATAAGAAAGCCCAGGCTGGCTGTGAACAAGAAAGAACATTTTTAGATTTGGGGAGAGGAGAAGGAGGAGGAGGAGGACCTTCCCCAAAGCTGAAGGTATCTCCCTCCAATAAGCAGCTTCTTCCCAAACTTCAAGCGTTGAGAATTTTCTTTATTTCTCTTGGATTTCCCTGTGATCTGCTGCCAGAAAACACAGCTCTGTATATCAATAGTCCAGAAGAAGATGAAGTCTGGGAAGGAAACTTCTGGAATGATCATATAAAAGACTCAAAAGGGGATGTGGAATTTGCAGAGGAAGGGCTCCTCATTGTGCTCTGCTTGGAGTCTAAACTTAGGTCCCACATGAACAAGTGTGCGCAGGCATGAGAAGCTCTTCATGCTGGGACAGCATCTCTCCCCTGTCCATTTTTCGCGTCCTGGAGGACATTTTATGTTGCTCCTGTTGAGGTTTGGAGACAGAGCTCTTGAGAAGACAGGCCCTGGCCTCAGAGTGGCTTGTCAACTCGCCCGTGTTGAACTCAGCGAAAACTGCTAACGGTGTTTGCTAACATGGATTTGAAGGCATTCTGGATGAACGCTCAAACTAGTATCAGGAGCCAAGCAGCCACACCGAAACTTAAAATCTCAATTACTATTTGCACCATCCATTCAATTTCAAACCTATGTGGATTTTCTATTTCATTTGTCTTTTTGTATACATGGCTGCTTTGTCCAACTTATTTGTAACTTCCTGAAGAACTAAAATATGTCCTTCAATTATTTGCAGCTCTGTTATGAGTTTAGAAAACAATAACAACAGTGATTATAAGTGCCTGTCCCTGTTACTGCCTCTGCCACAAATACCTATTAGATTTCTGGAACATTGTCTATCATGGAAGGCTGTGTATCTGAGACACACAAATACACCATACACATATATATGCACACATACATCACATACACACACCACACACATATACCATATTCACACATACACACACAACACACATATACATACATACATATATGGCGCACGCACATCATTCTCTACCCTTTTCCTTATGTGTACCTGACAAGCTAGCCTTCCTTGGAGCCATACTCTTCCCCGTTATGCATGTGCTGATTTAGGCTCAGCCTTCAGGTTGCCTCTGTCAGAAAGCCTGCCCTCAGGAAGCTCCATCTCACCACCCTGCTTATTTCCTACAACCTTCACCCCTGTTGTGCATCTCTCGTGCGAGGCTGCACTTGTCATTTCCCTTTGCTGGCCGTTCTCCCTCCGACACACAGTGCAGTATCTGGCATTTACTACTCAATGACTGTCTATTAGTTCAATAACCTAAGTCCTAACATCTCAGGGTACCTTCACCTCTGCGGATTGCACAGAATAAATCAGTAGCTTGTTGCAAAAGATCTTATGCTTTACAAAACGATTCGAGGCAGATTTCAAAAAGAATTGTTTCCCTATCAAAGACTTCTTTTGTATCTCAAAAGTTGTTCAGGGACATGGCAGCAGTATAACCTGAGGTGAAGAACATCTTACTTACACATACAGGGTTTAATTGACAGCAACTGCTAACAACAACACTGTCTTCCAAACTGTGGGCACTTCTAATTAAACAGACATAAAACAGCAGGCAGATCAATAAAGAGCAGGGGCCGTTCTTATAAGCCCAGCCTTGCATCATACATCACATCGGGTCTTTAGTCTGCTGTGGTTAGTGGCTGTGAGTTTACGTCAGTGTGGTGAAGGAGGCCAGGAATGAGTGAGCGGAGCTCAGTTACTGGTTCTGGATGAGGTGGATTCTCACATATGGGAAAGAAAGACGGACTTACTCAGCCTTACATCTGTGTGTTGAGGAGGGCTGGAACGAAGCATTGAGGAAACGGAATTTACACTCACAGGTGTAACCGCTACTACATAGGTAAGGGGAATTTCCAATCCACATTTCTCAAGGGGTGGTGGTGTATCTATTACAGAAAAGGGAACTATGGAAATCAGCGTGAAGAATTCTTTTTTAAATTTATTTTTAGTGCATTGGTGTTTTGCCTAAACATATGTCTGTGTGAGGGTCCCGAATCCCCTGGAACTGAAGTTACAGACAGTTGTGAGCTGCCATGTGGTTGCTGGGAATTGAACCCAGGTCCTCTGGAGGAGCAGTTGGCGCTCTTGACCACTGAGCCATCTCTTCAGCCCCAATGTGAAGGAGTCTTTGGTTTTTTTTGTTTGTTTGTTTTGTTTTTTGTTTTGTTTTGTTTTTTGAGACTGTGTAGCCCTGGCTGTCCTGGAACTCACTCTGTAGACCAGGCTGGCCTCGAACTCACAGAACTCCACTTAACTCTGCTTCCTGAGTTTTGGGATTAAAGGCATGTGCCACCACTACTCAGTATGAAGGATTATTAAGAAAAAACAAAGCAAAATAAAACAATCCTCCCCAACAAATAAACAAACCAAGAAAGAAAGCTGCCCTACGAGCCACCACTACCTCTCCTGCGCACACCCGATGGTTCCTTTTCTACTGCACACCACTGCTGTTACACCCATGATGGTTAATAGACCCAGTTGAATGCACAACAACAGATAAATGGGTAATGAAAATGTGGTACACAGACGAATGGAGTTGTACTATCTGTAAGGAAAAGGAAATGACAGAATTTGGAAAATAAAGTCCTTATGTTCTCCCATATGTGTGTGTGTGTGTGTGTGTGTGTATGTATATATGTATATGTATATATTGGGTGGAGCCTAAAAAACTAAAGGAGACCGAAAGGAGGTGAAAAGAGATGCGGAGGATCTAGAGAGAAGGCTAAACTCTTCCAGACGACCCGGGTGTTTTCCCGGCATCCGTATGTGGGATCAACTGTCTGTAACTCCAATCCCAGAGGATATAGCACTTCATGGGGAACCAGGCATGCATATGACACCTAGAACATACATGCAGGCAAAACACCCACACATATAAAATAAATTTTAAAATAAAATAAGAAAGAGAGATGCTGAGGAAGAGGCAGTAGTGGTTGGGGTGAGGGAGGCAGAAGGACACAAATAGCAGGAGAGCAGACAAAAGACGAGGGGAGGACAGAGATGGGAGCAATAAGATGGGGAAGAGGAGGAGGGAGGAGGAGGACAGCTAGAAGAACAACGAAAACAAACCACACTTGCATAGGATGCCATCGCACCTATGGACTTTGGAGGCTAATAACTTTAAAATAGGAGAATGGAATTAATAGAAGCTCTGAAAAGAAAGAAAGAATACATAACCTGAAATAAGAGAATAGGAACTCCAAAGGCTTCATAAAAAGGTTTCTTTTCATTATTTTAACTCATGTCTCTGTGTGGGTGTGTGTACACGAGTGCAGTGCTGGGGAAAGCGAGAAGCGTTGTATTCCAAGGGGCTTACAGGGGTTGGGAGCCAAGATGTGCAGGCTCAGGACTCCTGCAAAAGCAGTATATGCTCTTAACTTCCAAGCCATCTCCCCAGCCTGGAACTTTTGCAATTTTTATTAAATTAAAACAGTGCCAATTAGTCCATAAATTCCCAATTAAATGAAAGAAACTGCTAAGGAAGTTTTCCTAAATATAAAAAAACCTTGAAATTTTGGAATTTTGGGGCATATGTCAAAAATTTTATTTTACTGTATAATTCTACTAAGAATAAATTAATTAACAGTTATAGTAATATACAGCATAGAAATTGCTAGGAATTCAACTAACCCACTCTAAAAATATTTGTAAAGTAAACAATTTTACAGTTTTAGTGTGTAATGTAAATAAAGTTATATTTCCGATTGTTTCTCACTCACTAATCTTTATGTTGGGCCCAGTTAGGTCAGCAGGTTTGTTTCCTTTTGATACGTGCTGATGCAGACAGCAGCAACTGAGTGTGTGGTATGACTCGCTCAAATTACCCAGCTAACCATGTGGAGCCGGTTGGGAATGGAGCAGAAAGGCTTGACTCACTGGGTTGTCTTTCCAAGTTGCGAAATCTCCCTTCTTCCTGTTGACATATCTGGCTTACCAGCACATCTTCTGTACCTAGCAGAGAACTCAACATGGCACCAGACAGAGAGAAATACAGTCTGGGCTCCTATTAGCTCCCTATGCCCCCACAGAACTCATAAAGTAGGGTCTTCCATGAACACCAGCAAGTTAGGCAGACCTCCACCAAAGGCTGTACCTACCGGCCGATGTTGGAGACCCTCACCAAACGCTGTGCCTACTGGCAAATGATGGAGACCCTCACCAAAGGCCGTGCCTACAGGCAGATGTTAGAGATCTTCACCAAAGGCCATGCCTACCGGCAGATGTTAGAAGGTGAAAAAAAAAAACCTTCTTTGTTTCTTAAAAGGGCTTAAAAAGTATATTTATTGTATATACTTGCAAGTTACTTACAAAAGAAATTAATTTTTCATGTTTTTGGTGTGTGTGCTGTGGTACACATATGTGAATGTCTATTTGGACATGTGTACCTGAATTCCTGAACATGTGTACATGTGTACAGAGGTTAGAGGTTAGTGTCTGTGTCTTCACTGACCGATCTCCATCTCATATGGTCTCTCACTTGAAACCAGAGCTCAGCAGTTCAACTAGTCTGGCTAGGCAGGATCCCCAGCCTTTGCCTGCCGAGTACCATAATGACGAGTGGACGGCCATATCTACCTGGCTCTAGGAGGATGATGGGGATCTGAATTCTGTATTTAGCATCTCACAGTATAGTTCTGTAAGAAACAAACTAGCTGAGTATGGTGGTTCGTGCCTGTAAAGCCAGCACTTGGAAGGCTGAGCAGGAGGCAGTAAAAGTTCTGGGCCACTCTGAGCTTCAGACTGGGACCTTGTGCAAAAAGTAAATAAATAAATAAATAAGAAAGAAAGAAAGAAAGAAAGAAAGAAAAGGTTGACACACCCTAAAAGAACCCAGAGGAGTTTTTCAAATCTAAATTTAAAATAGGACCCCCTCCAATAAAAATAATAGATTTTTTTCAAAGGCTAACACTAATTAGATCACACCTGAACATCGATTGCTGCTTTGTGTAAATTGGAAAAGCCAAAGGGGCCAATCAGGTCAACTTATGCTGATCAACCCATAGAGAAACTGTTCTAACCAATCATTTTATTTTCTTCTTGCTCCTGGCTTTTGTTGTCTGAAAGCTGCCACTAACTATATTCTGTCTGTTATATATTACACAAATTATCTATAATATATAACTATATTTCCATATAGCCTCCTCTTGATACTGGCTCTTGAATTTCATGTCTTTTTCTCAATCTTTCACCAACTTTGTGATTGCCTGGCTGAATCCCAGTCATCTGTGATATGTTGGCCCAAAGGTCACAGTTCAGTATGTAAACAGACAGTCTTGAGAGTTTGTCAGTGAGCGATGTTTATATCAGATTATTTGCTATTTCTGTAGGCAATCCATTGGCTCAGCCAGATCAACATGGCTAGAAATTCTGAAATATCCTGCTCTGCTAAGATGTCATCCCTATTAGGGATTCTGAGTTTGAGCGTTAGACCTTTGCTAACATTAAGCATGTATTTTCATGGTTCGGGGAAGATGACTCAGTTGGTAACCAGCCAGTCTAGCATAATCAGCAAGCTCAGTGAGAGACCCTGATTCAAAAAAAATTAAAGTGGAGAGTGACTGAGGGGGGACACGATATAAAACTCTTGTCTCCATGTGTACCTGCACATATGTGTGCATACACACACAGACATATACATACAAACACATACATATACATGCAATAAAAACAAAATGTGTATTTTCAAAGGGTATTATTATTTTATTTTTGTTTTGTTTTGTCTCGTTTTTTGAGATAGGGCTATACTGCTTACTATGTAGTCCTTGCTGACTGAACACTAGCCCCGCCCCAAGCTCACAGGGACCCTCGGCCTCTGCCTCCTGCTCGAGTGACGTAATTCATCTGCCATCACACCTGCTTGGGGTTATTCTTTTACACTAGAGACCCACAGCATAGTTTAAAGGCCAGTGAGGGAATGGAGCTTAGTCCAGGACTGGGGCTGGCTCTTGGGTCAGGGGGGCTGTTAGGGCAGACAAGCCCCGTGTATCTGAAGCCTTTAAAAGCCTATGGGGCCAGACGTTTGGTCATCCAAAATGGGCCCCAGGCTAGTGAGCCCCAGTGGACCACACTAAAAGGAGGTGTGTGATACACAGTGGGGAAGAATAAACTCCCCCGCTTAATGAACTGCTCTGGAGCCAACTCTGACTCTATCTATAGTGAAAGCCGTTTGTATTGGAGACCCACTAATATTCGCGTTGTTCTGTCTGCCTCACCATCAAATCCAGAAGCACTTGGTGGTATTGTTGTGCCCAGGTCACGACCCCCAGAGAGAGACCACCAGAGAGGCCCAGACTGTAACAAGCAAGGTTTAATCAGCATAATACAAACATGTTTGGAACTCATCTCCATCCCCGTTACAACAAGGTAGAGAGGAGTTGTATCTCCTCTGTGGGGTAAGCTTTTAAAGGCATAACTACAAAGAGAGTCTTTGAAGATGCTTTGGCATGGGTACAAGGACTTTTGCTCCCTCCCATTCTGTTAAGTCAGGTTTTTTTCTTGTTTTTAGAGAGGCCACTGTTCTTGAGTTAGGCCATCTTTATCAGCCTGTACCAGGTGGCTGGCTGGGTTGAGCTAAGTGACCTTGTGCTCAGAATATCCCGGGTGGGAGAGGGATATTTTCTGCTAGAAAATTTCTTCTTGCCCCTTTGAGAATAAGGGGTGAGGGTCCCACAGTATCAGGTCCAAGGCGTACCCTACTTCCTCCCAAAAGGGCAGGCCCACTGATCTGATTCCAAATTGAGTCTAGCTGGACTATAGAAAGATTTCTGGCCATTAGATAAAAGCTGGCATTGCTCAGGAGCTTGCGAAATGGGCTCCCTCTGTTAAAAGGAGCCATTTCCCTTGGCTCTGGCAGAAGGAAGATGTTTCTCCATAAACCTGGGGTTGCATATAAAAACCCCCAACTTCCACAGTCCCTGTTAGAAATATTTTCTAACACGAGCTCTCTGTCGACACAAAAATCCCAGTCAAGCCGAATCAAAACAAGCCGAATTAAAAGATATCCAGGTTTAATAGGACTCTTGCTCTAGGGTGGCCTGAAAGTGAAGGGAAGCCGCCAACATGAAGGGAGGGGGGAGGACCACGTGTTGACTTTCTGGGGAGCAGTTTAAATAGAATGGGGAAGTGGTCCTTACCTCCTCAGGGGAGGTGTCAAGGTGCAAGGGCCAGAGACCGGGATTTACAGTCCCTTTGTGGTATATTTCACAGAGACCCCTCCCCCCACAAGCATCCTGGCTCTTCTCCCCTCCTCCTCTACCTTAAAGCCCCAGGCTACTTACTGAGTGCACAGACTTTCCGCCCTGCAGCTTCTCATCTTCCCTATAGCCCAAGTGATTTTTCCAATCCCCACGTCCCTAGCCCTGGCCATGTTCAGTCTTCTGCTTTTTCTTAGCTCTGGACTCTTCCAGATGCCTCTGGATGTTCTCTCTGATCCACAGTAAAAGCCTGTCCCTCATCATGGAGCCATTTTGGTGACTTCTTGACTGCACCCCTGTATACAGGTTGCCAGGGCTTGTTAGCCCAGTTGTTACACGTTGTATACAGGGGGGCATTATGTCCAGAAGGCAAGTAAACTTACGTTGCAGAGAAACACTCCTCATGTAAGAGGAATGGAGAAAATCACTGCTTTAATTATGCCAATACTGAGGGTAAATTATGTCTAATACATTTATTTGTCTAAAACTCAACTTTACTTGTCACAATAAGTCAAAATGAAGAAAAAAATTAGGCCTTGAAAATATATTTTATAGATAGCTGCCTTCTGTCTCAATGGGACCATGAAAACCCTGCTCAAAAATTAGACTGTCGTCCTGATTCTTGTCTCCCCACTTTTCATGTGTCTTTGGGGGGCAAGACGATTGCACCTTCTGAAAGTTAGGAGAAAGTCAGCGGAACCTGAGGTTTTCCAAGGCAGCAAAACAGAGGAAGTTCTTAGGTGTTGGTGAGGGCTGTCTCTCCCACTACTCAGAGTAAGCTAGACCTGTGTTTATACCACTCCCTCATGTGTGTGTGTGTTATGTGGGTGTCTATGTGTTGTATGCTGTGTATGTGTGTATATATGCATGTCTATGTGTTGTGGGCTATGTATGTGCTGTATGTATGCATCTCTATGTATTGTGTGCTGTGTGCATGTATCTGTGTGTATGTTGGGTCCACAGGGGTTGTGCAAAGATAGGGGACAGACCATTAAAGTCTATTAAACCAGAAGCAAACTTTATTTCAGAGAAAGAAAAAAAAAATCTCCACGGAGCACAAAAAGCTTATCAGCTAGCTGAGACCGCAGCCAGAAATGGGCTTGTATGACTGTGGCAATGGGCTGTTCCAAACGTCCCTCTTTATAGCAAGAAGCAAGCATTAGGAGTAAACAAAAGAATTTTTTCAGTCTCAAGGTAAAACTCACATTCAAATGGCCCTTTTTTATAACTTCCATTAACAGAGCTTTTTAGTTAAACTAGTGTTTGTATTTAGCCCATTGTTTCTCTCTGGCATTCTCTGCTGGTGTTTACCAAGGCTCTCTGCTCCCCTGACACTGCCTGTTTTTGCTTAGCAGGAAAGGGTATGGGACAATGTACAACCAAAAAGTCAGGTGCATCCCATCATTTAAAAGTTAACTCAGCCCACATCAGTTGCTGGTCATTGGTGGCCAGGGGGTTATCTAAAAGTTGACCCTCAGTTTGCAGAGCGACTCTCAGTTTGCAGGCAGATCTCTGGGTTGTAAAGCAGAGTAACCCACTGTTAATAGTTAATCCTTAAACTGCTGAGAAAGCTGCTGACAGTCTGTTCTCATCATTCTAGGCTTACAACTTTATATTTCTTTACTTCTACATTCCTATTTCTGGAACCTACATTTCGATTTTCTTATTCTTGGGCTCTTCATGTATAAGCATATGCGTCTGTGTGTTGTGTTGCTGTGCGCTATGTGTGTGGTGTGTCACATGTGTGTGTGTGTGTGTGTATGGTATGGTTTGTGTATTCTTGTGTTTGTGCGTTTGTGCATGTGTATGTGGATGTTCCAATCAGGATTTCACGCATTCGAGGCAAGGCTTCTCCTACAGAGCTACACCCGCAGCCTTCACCTGCTCCTTTACACTCCCAGAGAAAGCCAAAGTCACCTACTGCCGCCAGCTCCCACTTTCCAGCCCCTTGACTTCCAAAGGCCAGAATCTTGGTGCAGCTGCGAGAGGAAACAGCTTGTGTGGCGGTGTGGAGAGACATTCCCATCTTTCCTGCAGGCTTCCTCGGCTCAGCCACACTCTGTCAATACTGCATGTTCCCACCAGAAAGCATTAAGAACATGAGTGAAAATATTACACGGATATAAATTCCTTATTTCACCACATGCTTCAAAAGACTGCTGTGTGGGGAGAGAAGCTCTCCCTATGCCTTTTTTTCTTTTCTCAATTGTTTCTATTGAGCTACACATTTCCCCACTCTCCTTCCTCCCTCTCATCTCCCCTCCCTTTACCTTTAATATGTTTTCATTGTCTTTTGAACAGGGGACCCCTCAGAAAATGAGCAGGAAATAGGGCAGCAAAATAGGAGAACCGCTTCGTAGCCAACTAAGTCACATGACACTCTGTCAGGCACATTTGCCTGTGTAGTCAAATTCATCCCTTCACTGCTTCCTCTGTAGCCCAGGCGGGCCTGGAATGGACAGAAGGCCTCCTCCTGTGTCTGTCTCCTGAAACCACAACCTGAGCCCCACGCCTGCTGAGTACACATTCTTTACCCCACCCATGAAAGCATGAAAATCTTACAAACATTTACGGGATATCACGTGACATTTCAATAGACGTGTTTATTGAATAATGTTTATGTCAGGATCAGCACACCACGTAGCTCCTCCACCTCATTTCTTCATACTGATTATATTCAAACTCCTTCCTTCTGTTTCCTTTGCGCAGGATTTGGTTCTTTTCTGTAGTCACCCTGCTTTGCAAAGTTCTTTCTTTTTTAAATTTGCACTTATTTGTTTAGTGTGCTTGTGCGCGTGCACCCACCTGCACATGCCATGGCATGTATGGGAAGGTCAGAAGACACATGTCACAGCATGTATGTAGAGGTCAGAAGACATGTCACAGCATGTATGAGATCAGAAGACACATGTCACAGCATGTATGTAGAGGTCAGAAGACACATGTCATAGTATGTATGAGATCAGAAGACACATGTCACGGCATGTATGTGAAGGTCAGAAGACAGTGTGCAATAGTCGGTTCTTTCCTTCCACTGCATGGATCCCGGGAATCCAGCTGAGGCTGTGAGACTTAACAGCCAGCACCTTCAGCTGCTGAGCAGTCACAGGCCCCAGAACTTAGTAGATGGTGGTCACCTTCTTCTAGCCCTCTCTCCCATAGATATTTATAAAATGAATGATCTCCTTCGTCCTTGCTCAGTCTCCATGCCCTTATTTCCATTTGCAAGTGGCTTTCAGTCAGAAACAGGGATATTCAGAGCCCATCTGTCTAGGTCTGTGGTTCCGCTATGGTACAATGAAGAACTTGCTCCCTGACCCACAGAGGATCACCAGTAACAGGATTAATAAGGAGCAAAGCTGACTCTCACCAAAGACGTGTTTGTCCCAAGAGCTTTTAAGCACATGCAGTTAGCTCAAGATGGAGAACTTCTGATGGTGTACAGCAAGACTCACAGACAGGCTCAGCTCTGTGCTGTACGTAAGGGTCTGCTTACATTGCAGAGTTCAATAAGACAGTCTGGTGCGAGAGGTCCATGGGTCACCTCAGTCACAGTCCACATTCAGGAGCTCTGGGTCCGGATCTTTGGTCCAGCTGGGTGACTGCTCCGTAAATGATCTTCTGCACTAACTGTCCCATTTGCCAGGAGGAGCCCGCACAGGGAAGAAGGGAAATCACTGCTCTGTTCGTCCTTGTTGAAAGGTCTGTGATCGTCTGCGGCAGAAAGGCCGATGTGTCTACCTTTGTTGCTTTTGCTACACTAACAGATTTGCCTGGAGTTGCTCAGGCCCCCAGACTAACTCCTCAACAAGGCCTCTTCTGTGGAAGTGGAGTCAGTGAATTCCAGAGTTAACAGATTTCAAAGGTTTGAGGATTAGCAGCAGGTCTGGTCTAGTTTCTGCTTGCTGAAAGGACTAACTGTGCAGAAGGGCCACCCACTGACTGCCACAGGTTAGATTCGCAGGGATAAGGGACGTACTTATTCAAGGTCGCCTGAGCAAGAACCCGGTCCTCTGGACTGTAGCCAAGACCTAAACAGCCACACCAGGCATCCCAGAAGTGTCAAGGAGGATCAGTCTATGAACAGACAGGTAGGAAAATGCCAAGCCAGATGGGACTGGCCTGCACTCTGTTGGCAAGCCCTTAAGGGTGCTTATCAGATGATCCAGAAAAGGTAGAAGAAATGGAGACTAATAGCCTCAGGGAGGCTGTTTGGAGAACTAGAAAAATGGCCAAAACAGATCACAGACTTGGGGGAGGGAGAGAAAAGGAAGTGGGAAGCAGAGTTTCTATAAGCAGAAGACGTTTCCTGATGCATGAACAGCCAAACAAAACACCAGACATCTACCAGTCGTGCTACAGCCTGAACTAAGGTACCCAAAGTCTCTTGACACAGGAAACTATGCTAGATGCAAAAAGGAGGGCTTAAATAAACCTAATAAAATACGCAAAGAAAGTACAGAAAAACAGCAGGAAATAAACCACGGGGAAGTCTCTGCTCAGTGTCTCCTCAGCTGACCCGACAGCCTAGCCTGAGGTGACCCCGCTGTCCTGCGTCTCTCTTACCCACCAGCAGGCACTGTCTGGGTATTTTCTATCTTAACTCATAGCCCCACCACCCCTTTACCCAGATTTCACTTTTCAAGGTTTCAGGAAACAGACAGCCAACCAGTTCCAAAAGTACTAAATGGAAAATTCCAGACACAAACAACTTATAAGTTTCAAATTTTTATTTTAGTATATTACATATTTTCTATTTTATTAGTGGTCATTGTTATTACTCTCTTAGTGCGTCTACTCTGTAAATTAAATTTCACCATGGGCCTGAATGTATAGAGGAGAACATAACCATGTGGAACTGTATCTATATAGTTCTCATAGGAGTCTGGACTATCTGTGGCTTCAGGCATTCACTGGAGGGTGGTCTTAGGACATACTCCCCAAAGATAAGGGGGGGTCCCTGCACTCTGCCCTTCCACCGTAGTGAAACGAGGCTTCCGTGACTGGAGCCCTGGAGGGGCCATGAGGCATTAGATGTAGGACTGTTATTAAGAACTCGACTGTTCTTCAGCATCTCTTCTCTCAGGTGCCTCTGGTACCTCTGTGTGGCCTGGAGCTTTCCGTTGTTCTTGTCAGCGCAGCTCATCTTATACCTGTGAGACTTCCTGAGCCAAGGCCGTGTTCTACACTGGGACAGCAGGCTTGCCAGAACCGGGGCCCTGGGAACCCCGTGGCACTGCGTCACTATTTCAGGCCTGAAGCAAATATCCACCTTTGAATTAGATGTAAGCGGAAGAATCTGCCTTTATGTGGTTTAAGCCATTGTTATTTGGGGATTTAAAGTGCTGGTTATTGCGACCTGTCAAGTGGACGCAGCCTAGAGTCACCTGGGACTGGAAGTGGGAAGACTCAGCCCACTGCGGTGGTGCCATTCCCCAGGTGGGGTTCTGAGCTAAGTAAGCGTGGAGAAACGGGGCTGAGCACAAGCAAACAAACAAGTGTTTGCACGTGTTTCTCTGTTCCTGACTGTGGTATGGTGTGACTACCTGCCAGCTTCTGCCGCTGTGACGTCCCTGCAGGAAAGCACTCAAACGAACCTGTGCTCCTAGCTGCTTTCTGCCAGAATGCTTCCCCACAGCAAGAGAAACGAAACTGGAAGAGAACCCCAACTTTTCTCACAAAGACTCAGTTTTAAAGTAGCATGTCATCTTTGAATTACATCTAAACATAAATATTATAATATGTAAACATTATATCTATCTATCTATCTATCTATCTATCTATCTATCTATCTATCTATCCTTCTTTTCCTTGGCTCTCCTCTCTGCCTCTCAGATGCAGACACTGTAACAATATGAGCAGGAGCAAAGTTTGTCAGCTATGCAGACTGGAGAGCACGCATGGCCTAGATCCAGCAGACACTCCTAACTCTCTGGCATGAGGAAGGCCAGCACAGAGTCTATATGTTATAAGTCTGTAAGGACAAAACCTAGATGAGTCTGTAAGGACAAGTCTGGGGCAAGTCCAGGAGAAACGGCACTAGCAGACATGTGTGCAGTGATGCTAAGAGTGACCTACAGGCAGACAGGAGTGTTAATCTGGAGTGTGACGCAGGGAAGAGTGAGGTAAGGCTGAAGAATAGTATAAAAAGTGAGGCAAAAAGACCAGAAGTCATTCTCAAGATGATCTGCTAGAGACTCTGTTGGAGAGGCGCCAGAGAAGCTCTACAGCATCGAGAATCAATCAATCAATCAATCAATCAATCCATCAATCAATCAACGAGACATTGGGCCAGAGATCTTCCAAGAGCCAGAGAACAAGCTCTTGCCTGTGGATCAAGACTTGCTGATCCAGAGATCTACGTCGAGAGCCACGAACCATCATCAGGTTGTACAGTCTAATGCCTTATTGGATAGAATATAGTAATGCTTGCCTAGGATTTAGAAATATATATGTGCTTGTGTGGTATTGCTTGTGTGATATTATACCCTTGCTTGTTATGATGATACTTAGCTGTGTCAGAACAGTTGTAAGATCTTGAAGTGCCTGTACAATAAATGTAGTTTGGACAAAGCAGAGAACTGCTATCCTGAGTGTCATTACTTACAGACCCACTCAGTAGAGCTCACGACAGTATGCAAGAGGACAGAAGAGGCAGAAAAGGCCCACAGGACCATCAAGGAAGAAGAGGCACGGGAGGGAGGAACTGAAAGTCATTGTGGAAAACATCTGATTGCCATAGACTCTGGGCTGCGTGAGAACTTTGGGGTAGCTGACAGGAACTCAAAACTCATTTGTATATTCTCCAGACTAGGTGTGTTCAAGCTGACTTCCTGCTTAGACTGTGTTCCCTCTGGTCGGGTGAAATCGCGACAGTTTTCCAGATCCTATCTCTTCCTCTATTGCTCTCCACATTATTGTTTCGAGGCAGGGTCTCTTACTGATGTCTTAGTTTGGGTTTCTGTCACTGTGAAGAGACACCATGACTACAGCAACTCTTATAGGGGAAACATTTAGTTGAGGAGTAGTTCACTTACAGTTTCAGAGGTTCAGTCCTTCATCTTTATGGTGGGGAACATGGTGGCATGCAGGCAGATGTGCTGAAGGAGTAGCTGAGAGTCCTCATCTTGCAGACAACAGGAAGTCAACTGAGACACTGGGTGGTATCCTGAGCATAGGAAACCTCAAAGACCACCCCTACAGTGGCATACTTCCTCCAATAAAACCATACTTACTGATAGTGCCACTCTCTATGAGATTATGGGGACCAATGACATTCAAACTATCACACGGGAGCTTGCTGATTTAGCAAGTCAGCCCCCAGGATCACTGCTCTCCCCAGCACTGGGTTACA